TTAATACTTAAAGCATTATTTTTATATATCAAATAATATAATTATAACCTATAATACTTTATATATAATACTTAAAAATAAGTGATACTAAGTGAGTATTTTATATGCTTATGATATTATATGTTTATGATATTATATGCTTATGATATTATGATATTCTACATAAACATATTAGCTACTCTGGTGAAATCAGTGGGATCATGTCACCAAATGCAGACAGGATACATGCTCAGTCACTTTTTTATACTCAGTGCTGAGAAATAGTTACTGCAGCACTGTTAGAGTATTGCTATTTCCACCCTAAAGTATGTATTAAAAATAAGTCAGTGAATTTCTTCCTAAAATTTCGTTTCTCTCCATTCACTATAAAGTGAACTTCAGATGAGCAGCTCAGGTTACTCATATTGTGCACATGTGAAATTAGAACAGAGTATTAACAGCTCTGACCAGTCAGTTGCTGGTGCTCTTTAAAGCATGTAGTTTTACACTATCTGGAATAAGTAGTATTCCACCTGAAAAGATGTTTAAGATAATATTTGATACTGTTTCTAAAACACTGTAAAAAGTTAAACGAAAAAATTTAATAATTGGCATTTCTGCAGCTGATTATGTTCTATGCCATGTCTATTAGGAAAACACTAGCAAGTCATGATGAGAGCAGTAGGAAGCCCAGCATTAGCACAAGAGCCAACCAGAAAAAATGCTACCTTAGCTCGCTCAATCATTGTGCCTCATACAAATCCATTCACCAAACTGCTGTTTATCAAATAGCTGGACAGCAAATATTTTTGAAGTCAGAAGTATGATGAAGATATACAACTGCATATCAGATGCAGATTTTCTTCTTTTCCTGTTCATGATGCAAATTCTTTGAACTCACAAAAGTGACATTTTCCACTTGTATTACTTTGTATATTTGAATTTGAAAATACACTTAGGTTATTGCATGGTAACATATTTTGGCTCCATGCAAAATAAAAGAACTTCAGTAACATTAAATCTGTCATACTGAGTGAAAAGCATTTTTATCTCTCAACTTATCCAGTGTATGCTTTGTGTGTTTGTATGTTTCTATTTCATGAAAATTTCATCACTATAGGTTTACAGTACATGCTGTACCAAATTCTGTTCCCAACATCCAGTCTGAAAAGTTGGATTAAAAATTAGAAGTCCCTGCTGAGTTATGAGACAGGTGTTAAAGGTTCCTTTTTCTCCTCATTTTCACAGCCGAAAAGGTCTCTGTGGTGTTGCATTTCTCTTTGTTTTCAAAGAGGATTTTCTACTACTGGTTAGTCTTTTATTTTTTTTTTTAAATACTTGGTATGTTGTATCATTTTACATTCTTTAGATATGGAAAAGCACAATTGTTTAGACAAGCAATTTTCCTTATGCATATTATTTCACTACTTACATAGTGAATCACACTGTCATCACAAAACTGCCTATCATAACACTGATAAAATTTAGATAAGCTTTATCAGAAATTTTGATTGAAGTCATAAACAGCCTTCTTACTGTGTAGGTGTAGCTCCTCATCAATGCCTCCACTGTACCTCTCCATACACAGATAGTGAAAACTCTGATGGAAGTCCTACTTTCTGTTTATCAAATTCAGGTCTCAGAGAGAGGCAAAGTTCACACTTGGTCAGTTAAATGTTACCTACTACACATGCTTGAGCTTGTTCCCTGATGCCATTGTCTGCAAAGAGTTGCTAGCCTGAGCTTGAAGTACATATTAAAACTAGAAAAATTTGCTACTCAATTAGTTGATCAATTTTGAAATAGTTTTCCAGGTTTAAACAAACAAAGAGATAGTTTCTGACCAACCTCCAGTAATATCATCCATTCAAGTTGGCCTCAAACTCTTCGGGTTTGGGCAACTGCTTTTCCTTAGACATTGATAATATAAACAAATTGCACATATAAATACAGAACAAAAATGAGAAGTGGAACTTTATTATAGGAAAAACAGGACCTTAAATTTTTCTCAGGATTTCGTTAATTTTAAATTTTAATTTTAAAACTACTGCAAAGGAGGCACTTTCAGCAAGAAGGCAAGAATGCAGGCTACAAAGAAATCACGTGTTAGCAACAGTGTAACTCCAGAATCCCAAAACTCTAAATATTGGGTTCCTCTTCAGGGGCAGACATTTTTACCATGGTGTCCACAACCACTTTGATCATAATTATCCTGCATGGTTTTACATGAAGGAATTTTGTAAGACATTACTAATGACTGTTTGACAATTTAGTGCTAAAAATCTTCATTCTCCTAATGCCCTGTTAGAAATATTCTCCTCTATTTTTTGTTGCCATGAATGAGGTATATTGGTAGCACTTAAATAATGTCTGATCATCAACAGCAAATTACTTTGCAAACATAGTAATTCTACATACTGGAAAGTATTTTGAATATTATTTCTGAATTCTTTTGATTGCTAACTACAAACTTCTCGTCACTCTCAGCTCACTGATAAGGAACGGCACTACCCCATCAAAATACTGAATCCAATTTTGTCTTTTCAAATTTCTTAACTGAGTATAAAAAACACTAACTTTTGTTATTTTGAATATACTTAAAGGAGAACTTTAAAGCTTTTTTTAAAAGCCTTGCAATTTGTTTGTTCATTAAGTGAATCTACAGACTGGCAAATCAGTTATTTGTAAGAGTCCACTGGAAAATGTACCACCTCTAAATGCAAAAAAAATGTTTCCTAAAAAAAATGCCACCCTAATATCTTTGTCCTTTTTCTTCTACCCACTTGCAATATTACCTTTTTTTCATATCTGCTGTACTACAGGTTCCCAAAAAAATGACTTGCATTTTTGTTTAACCTTACTTCAAGATTCTGCCTAGAGAAAAATGTGTTTATTATATCAACACCAACCTTTTCTTCATGTATATATAGACACATATGGGGAACCAATAACCCAAAAGATAGTAAATATCTACAAAATCATATATATATTTAAGAATTCAGTGCCAACAAACCTTCTAAGTAATGTTTGTGATCCTCACACAACTCTGACCCCCTGTTAAACTACATGTGTGTCTCCTAGTTACATTCATATGTATGATTAAATCACAATTAGTATAGAAACATTTCTAGGTTAGCCTACACAGTTCTAAATGATTGTTCAGTCTGAGTATTTTAAATCAGCTCAGGTTTCATTTCAAAAAGATTAGAGATGTAAAAAACAGAGTTTTCTGGATAACATAACAGTCCATTTTATCCAAACAGAAGCATTTAACCAATACAGTACACACACCAGGGAAGGTAAAATAAATGGTGTATGAATAGGACAGTTTCTGTGAAAAAAAAATTACAAAAATTACATAGGCTATTTGATTTGAAACAGCCAACGCATCTGAAATCACAGAAGTAATTAAGATAAACGACATTTTCCAACAAATTTAATACTACTATATTATTTACTTTCTTATCTACACACTTTGAATAATCCACAAAAAAACTTTAAGAGGTTTCTATTATCAATTTATATGCCTTCTTGACATTTACCATTAAAATACTTTTGGTAAACAATAATAAGATATGTTTTTGAGCAGGTTCACCTACCACACAAACACAACTGGATACTAAATTAGGAAGGAGAAGAAATCTAAAAGTGATAGAATTAAATTCAAAGAAAAAATTGCAATATTATTTTACAGGTGAAAAGCAAAAATAAAACCTATTTTAAAATATGGCACTCATATATTACACTACACTCCGTATTAGAACTTCAGCTTCCTGACTTTTTTTTAAAAAAGCATATGGTTGACGTAGCAAAACATAGAAAAAAAAATGTGAAGCCAAACCAAGGGACCAGCTAGCACAGCCAGTGAAACTTTAATGTACTCCTGAGACTTGCACTCTAGAGCCTTGCAGCCTAACACATATGTTTCTAACAACTTTCTCATGAAACCCGTTTGAATGTATTAGAGAAAATGCGACACTAGCTCAAAAGTTCACCTAGACCACCTAGTCCAATGTTATCACTTTGCAAATATCTAATATGTTAAAGGAAGAACATGAGCATAAGCTTAAAGTAGAAAGCAACAGCACACTGAAACAAAAATTCTAATGACATTAGTTCGCTAAGCTTTTACTTTTCCAATTTGAAAAGTAATAAACTCTATAAAGCTGAAGAAATTATGTATCACAACAAGAAAATACATCATACAATTTTATTATTTGAAGGAATCCTATCCATTGTAATAATGGTTTTGTTAAGTATATGGAACAGAAAATTGAATATCCTAGTTCTGACAGGATCAAATAAAAATCAAAAAAGGAGAAAAAGTATAAAAAGTAGAAGACTTTGTTGTACTGCTTCATTTGTTGAACTATATAAAACAATCTGCTCTTGTATTAATATTTAAAATCTCAGTGGACAAGGCATATAAAACAATCCAAAAAGAAAATAATAAACATAGGTATTGCTACTGATTTACTAAACCTACAGTTTGAGTTTCTAACTTAACATCTATTTAGAAAAAAATTCAAACACGATTATTGTTTTTATTACTTGAAATAGTTCAGTGAAATTTCAAATACTTCCATGATTCTCAGGAAACCAAAACTCTGCATCCTGCAAGCAAGAAAAATTCCATGACTTCAAAAAGAGAACAAAGCCAAAATAAATTCTTATCTGCTTATCATTGGTTCATATTTGCAATATTTTCCTTTGAGCAGTATTTACACTTTTTAAAACAAATTGTGTAATACACAGTATTTTTATGAAACTACCTGAAATGACTAACTGATAAGCAGTAATATAGCATTTAATAGCAAATAAGTAAAGTAAAACAAGTAATACTAGAAAAATCAAAAGTGGAATAATTTTGTCAGTATTCACTGTAATATTTAAACAGTCAACAAAAAGAATTTACTACAGTGATAATATTTATAAAGACGAACAATAAATAAACGGTATGTCCTTAGCAGTGCCTAGAAGATATATTTCAGATAATTAGGAACAATGGCATTATATAGTACCTTCCATTGCCCTTTTAAAGAAGACTTTACAGCTTCCACAGGTAAGTACTCCATAGTGGCAACCAGAAGCCTCATCACCGCAGATGAGACAAATCTTCTGGGGTAGTGATTCAAAACTGTACTGAGAACTTTGGCTGGCTTCTGTATCTGGCCTTCAAAAGAAAGAGGATTAAGAGAAATGAAAGATCTGGTTTTGCACGGTTAACTACTTACCTGTATTGATCAATTTTATACTAAAAACTTTATTTTAAAATTTGTAATCAAGCTACAGAAGGACAAGAAAAAAATAAAGTATGACTGCCTTTCAGCGTAAGGGTTTGTCTCTACTATGCACTATAGGAAAGCAGTGGGCAAAAAGCATAAAGTTGTATTTTAATCCATTTAGCTTAAAAAGGTATTATCTAGAAACTTTTTGCTAAAATGTTCATCTTCCTCAGATCAACAACTCTAGTGAGTGGAGTCATAGTGACTGATACTCTTTTTTCCTGTACAGAGACAGAATCAGATAGAAGTCAATTGAATTTCAAAGGCCTCTTTCACGTGGGAAATAACTAAATCTCATCTCAGCTAGAAAAGTCTTTAACAATCAGTTTATCACCCCCCATTCAGCTGCAGCATTCTCAGCAGTAACTAACTCTGATGGGGATATATCAAGGATATTTCCAATTTCTCTCCATCAAAAGGCACAGACTAAGCGAGGTAACCACTGTACTCAGAAAAAATAAGGGATTTCTGCTGAAAATGTAACATTATATGTACGTATTTTTGCACGTATTTCTAGGTAACAAACATCTCGCCATGATAGCACCCAATTTCATTCTAGCAAATCAATATACAAGCGTTTCTGTTTTCTATTTTGTGTGAAATCAACTGTTCTGTTTTTTTTCAAATCGTAAATAAAGTTTTGGAAAATATTTAGGTATTGATGAATATGGTCTCGCTGCCAGTGAGGGTAATCTGGAGAACACTCTGCACCCCCTTTCTGGAGCCGGGCACTGGCTCGGTCATCGGACGGCACTGAAGCACCGCAGCGACAATAAGTCATCGTCTCCTAGAGCGTTACAGCGCCTGAAAGAGCCGCGAGGTGCCAGCTGCTAAACTGACACTGTGCCAGTCTCACACCGCCCTAGACACCCCGGCGTGCTCGAACAGCGAGGAGAATGGAAACGGGGGCTGCAGGTCTGCCTAAACACCCAAAAAGGCCTTAGCCGAGAGAAACTTCGCCCACCCTTGCCTCGGCACCCCCGGAGCGCCCATCCCGCGGCACGGCCGCCGCTCCGGAGCAGGAGGATGCGCGGAGCTTTCCCACCGTTCAGCGCGACCTCCCGACCCCGTCCCTCGGCGAGCGCCTCGCCCGCTGCCGGTCGCCTCCTACCGCGCGTAACCGAGGTAGGGCGGGCACAGCTGGGGCAAGCCGCTTCCTTCAGCACGGCGGCGGGAAGCCCAGGCGGCTGTGCCCGTTGAGCCCCAGGGCCGGGTAGAGCCCCGGCGGCGCGGCTGAGGTGGAAGGGAGGCTGTCGGGCGCAGCCGGTGGCCCATAAGCGCTGGCCAGGAGGGTGGGCTCCGCCTTGTACAGGACGCACTCCAGTGAGGACTCCTGCCCGGCCCGCGGAGCCGAGGGGTAGTCGGAGCAGCCTGCCGCGGGGGTGGCCCTGCCGCCCGGGTACCGGGTGGCGAGGCCGAGACCCTCCTCTTTGATCTTCAGGACGGGCTGGAAGTCGCCGTAGGCGAAGGATCCTTCCTTGGCATCCCCCGTGGGGAAGCCGTACCCCGGCAGGTCCGGGGCGGGGGGCGAGCATCGCGGCACCCCGCCGCCCTCGTACTCCGCCCCGTCCAGCAGCTGCCGCGTGCGGGAGGCCAGGAAGGCCGAATTGAGGGGCAGAAGCGGCACGTGCAGGTATTCCTGCCCCGGGTCCCCTTCCCGGGACCCGCCAGGCAACGCCACAAGCCCCGGGGCATCGTCCTTGGGGGCCGCGGCGGGACCCTCCGCGCCGCCCCCCGACGGCAGCTTGGCGGCAGTCAGGGCATCGCCGGGAGGCCAGAGCGGGGCGGGCCGCGGAGGGGGCTGCGACGGACCGGGCGCCTCTGGGGCCGCTTCGCTCGCCTTCTGCGAGGGGCCGCGGCTCATCGGGCCGTCGGGCGCCTCCGCTGCCTCCACCTCGAAGAACGACCAGGGCGCCGCGGCCACGGCGGAGCTGGCATGAGCCGTGGGAGCCAGAAAGGTGTCCAGGACGGTGTCCAGAGAGTCCTTGTCCGAGAGGGAGCCGCTCCCCGGCCGGTAGGAGAAGGAGTCCCGGCCCTCCTCCTGTCCCAGATGCTGCTGCCGCGGCTCTTCCTCCTCCTCCCCTTCCTCCTCCTCCTCCTCCTCGTCCTCCTCCTCGTCGCTGCTCTTGGGGTAGAGCAGCCCGTCCAGGGAGATGTCAATGGGTTCCGCTTCCCTGCGGAAGGGGTCTCGGCCGGGCTGTCCTTGCAGCAGGACCGCCCCGTCTCTGGCAGGCGGAGGCGCTGTGGGCTCCTTGGCCTTCACCTCGGTCATGCTGGCGCGGGTAGCGCTGAACACCGACGAGTCGGCAGCTGGGCAGTGGCGGGGGGCGGGCGGCCGGGCGGTGCAGGATGCGGGCGGCTCTTCACATCCTCGACGTGTCCGCTGCGGCCGCGGCACAGGTCCCGCTCACATGGTGCTGCTTTCGCGGGGGTGGCTCAGCCCCGGTCCCTGCCGCCGGGAGAGGGGTGACACGAAGCCGGGAGCGGTGCAGCCTGGAGAGGAAAAACGATGGCAGCGTGTGCAGAGGGCAGGCAGGAAGGCAGGGTTCCCGCCAGGCTCTGGCGGCGGCGGGCGGGATGCCGCTCGCTGCCCCCCGACTCCGAGCTCCGCTGGTCCCTGGACTGCTTCCCACTGCCCGGGCGGGCTGGCTGCCGGCTCCACGCCCCCTCGTCCGTCCCTCCCTCCCCGCCCCTCTTCGCCGCCAGCTCGGTCCCTTACCAAGGGTCTGCGCTGCAGGGCACGGGCTCGCCCCTCCACGTCCCACCTCTTTCCGCTGCCTCTGGGCACCGCGGCTCCCCCAGCAGCACTTCCATCGGCTCCACCTCCACTCCACCTTCCCCTGCCTGTCCTCCCCGTCGCTCGCCGCGCGCATCCCTCTCGTACCTCATCCGGCACCCTGTGCCTTAGGTCTGCGCTTTTTGACCTATCCTGGCATTCTCTCTGTCTTCTCATCCTTTTCCCTCAGCTCCAGGGTCGGTGCTCCGTCCTCTCGCTTCACCATCCCCAGAAGCGCAACTCTGGGCAAGAGGCTATAAGCCTCTGGTTAGGTCGCTGTTTTGGAGAGCAGAGAACAAGACAAGCTTTACTTATCTGCAGTTGACAATAGTATAGTCTTCCTTTTGTCTGTTTTTCACTGTTCTCTTCAGACGTTCACTGTAGTTTTTCGTGGTTGAGCTCTGTTACCAATCCTCTTCTAGGATCCATTTTCCAGTAGCAAAGAAACCGAGGCATTGTAAAGCTCTTTAAATTACATTAAGGGATCTCAAAGCATCCTTTGCTCCAAGAAGAACAATGTCTTTTCTACAAAAGGTTTGGAAAATGGGGCATTCTTTGCTTCTAAACTTTAATTACTTCATCAGGGGCATGAGAGGATGTTGAAAAGGGACCTTGTTTACAGGAGCTGGCTGGCCAGCCTGCATATAGCAAGTTATAATTCAGCCCAGGTTAGTTCTGACCAAGAAACTGTCACCAGCTAATTGCTGCCTGGCATTTTGTATAAAATGATGGCTTTGTGGCAGAACCCATTCAGCTCAATAATACAGCTACTAACTGAAGGGGGAAAAAAAGGCAACACAACCCTTAGTATATTTTTATTATATAGAAATACAGAAAAGAAACCTGTGTTGAAAGATACGAAGAATAGATTGGCAGAGGAGTAGTGACTTTACGTGGAATCAGTATATTTCTGATGTGTAGAGAAAAGTATGCTGTTACATGATCGATTGTGATCTGTAAGTATAGCATGCTTTTCTGAAAAAAAATCTTTTTTCCACAAAACTGTGATCACCACGAAATAGTTGCTTTTGTTATTTTACTTTCAAAACATTTTCAGACTGAATAGGACAGCTTCTCGGGGAGAGAAATATAACTATTTGAAATTATTTCAGTAGCATTTGAAATCATACAGGGCAAGTTTATAGAAGCAGTGGCGTCCCATAAACACTCCTCAATGTGGTGTGTAGTTTCTACTTTATTCTTGGTAAAATACTACTGGCTTATAGACTGCTTTGTGAGTCTGCCTTTTATTCCTTCAAGAATAAACAGAAGAAAATCTTTATTTTTTTAGTATTTAAAAGAATTAAGGCAATGTGATAATAACTAACATTTTAAACCTCAGATGTTATGTGGGCACCTCTCTATACATTTAGGGGGTTCTACAGAATAATGCACCTCCAAACATACTTGTTATTAGGAGTATTTCTCGAACAGCAGTATTTCACTCTGTAGATATTCCAGGGAAAAAAACTATTTGAGTAGCAAGTACCAAGAGTTGAAGATGTTTTCACAAAACCTGTCAGTGGAACCAATGTAAAAAGAATTATTTGAGGAGCTACCTAGTTCTGTTATGACGTGACATTAAACAAATAATTTGAAGTGCTTTTCTGGTTACCAAATTTCTCTTTTTCGTGCTACAGTATTTCTCTTTTCTCCCAAACCTGCCTTTTCTCAGAAGGGAGAGAAGTTCCTCTCCAGTACTGTTCATCTCCATGCTCTTTTTGGTTTTCCCCTGATGTTTTCATGCTTAGTCAGCTAGTTGTCACGCCTTTTTATTGCCACTGCTTTGCTTTCTCATTTCCACTTCCCTATATGCACCCAGCATTCATGGTCTGCTGCTTTACAGACATGTGCTCCACAGACATGTTTCCTTACAGTGACTTTCCTTCTTCCTACTCCTTCAGGACTGGGAGAGGTAAAGAGCCACAGATAGCCTGAAGAGGGGTCCTGAAAGGAAAGCATCATTGAGTAGTTTCCGCTTGTCTACTAAAATTCTACTCTAACAAGGCCATGTGACTGTAAACACCTACATGTTCACCAGAAATATAAATGTTTACTACTTGCATTATTTGTCTAAATGTTAGCAAATAAATGTTGTCCAGGTTTTCTGCTGTCCTGATTTCATTTTTATGACCTGACAAATATACTAATTTCTTTAATAGTAGCAGTAGTTATGCTGAATTGTCATTATTTAAGGAAAATATTTTGGGTTCTTTATCTTTAGAAAATTTATTTGACTTTTAATTTATACTGGCTTCACATGATTTCTATGAACTTTCACTGGAAACTTTTAGTATTTTCTTTAGATTATTCTACCTATAACCCTCATGCCCCATCCCTGGAAGTGTTCAAGGCCAGATTGGATGGGGCTTTGAGCAGTGTGATCTAGCAAGAAGTGTCCCTGCCCATGGTAGGGGGATTAGAAAGAGGTGATATTTAAGATTCCTTCCAATCCAAATGATTCAGTGATCCATTTGTTTCTTTTGCTCTTAGATTTTCCTACATCACTTGGATGCTTTACCTGATATTACTATGATATCACAAGTTTTTAATTAGGAACATTTCAAAGTATGCCTTATCAAATTTTTTTACGTTCTACTGTTGTTGTTTCTTAATTCTGATTTATTCATTTTGTTGTTGTGTCAATCAACATTACAGAAAAACAAGTTTTCTTATGGTGTTTCCACAGCTGATTTTCGTTTGCAAGCTATTAAAATTGAAACTGATATTTTCAATTCAGATCTAAAGACATTTTTTTTATTCAATAAGATTTTACTGAATATAAAAATTTCAAAAAGCAAACAGTATGAATGTACTTCTGAATAAACCTATTTTGAAGCAAAAACTAAAACTTTGGAGGGTTTGATTGACAATCTTGCATTTTTTAAATTCAGTCAGAACTTGAAAGTATATTGGAGAGTTCAAATAATTTGTGTCTGTTTTCTTGCTCTGTTCAAAAAATGTGGATGAGTAAAAGCTGTGCTTAACAAAACTGTATTGCTTTGCAGCACAATTCCTATATAAAAGGTCAACAAGAATAGCAATAGAATTATACTGAGAACTCTCATTGTAAAGCCGTAGATTTGCACTTAACTTTTAAGTAGTTCCTAAGCATTTGTTTGGCCATTCAACCCTTCAACTGTGGACTTTAAAGCAGTAAAATTTTTGATAGACCCTTTGAAATATTGCTAATGTTATTGGCTTAAATAAAACCAAAAAATGCTGGGTGAGAAATAGGACAAATACACAGCCTCCTTGAACATTACAAAGATCAAAATCACAAACCTTTTCTATGATGACATTTTCTTAAAAACTTTTGAATCATGGTCTAAAAGTCAACAAAATCTAAGTTCCTGTTCTCAGACTAAAGTGTTCCATTTGCGTGTAAAGAGTGCTCCATATAAACAGTGCCATAAAGTTAATGTCCATACAGGCTTTACTTATAATGACCTCAATATTGTTCTGCACAGCCTGTCGGAAAGCAGAACTTAGAAGTTAAAAATAATGTTGTTTTTTTTCCACAGTTAATGAATGCCTTACAATTTCGTACTATCGTTGCTTAGGATATAGTACAACCAAAAATGTGATTCACATTTTGTAAACAGAGAGAAGGAGAGACTATCTTCTTCAAATAGCTTATGAGCTCATGGTCAAAAAAAAATGGAAAAAAGCAGCTTGTAAAAGGAGATGTTTAGAGGTTTTTGCTTCTATTCAGAGAAATAACATTTTTATTTAAAACAAATAGACCTCTGTAACTGCATTTTGCAATTTCTCAACTGTGAAAAGCCCCCACGTTTTCAGTGTGTGGTGTAGAGGATTAAAACGTAGTGTCATATAAATAACAGCATATTCTTGTTATGTTACAGGTTTTGGAGCTATGTACTTCTGTGATTGCATCCCTATCCTGTAAAAATGTAGACCCCTGGTTAACAGGCTAAAGTTCAGTTAAATTAGGAAGCCAGCAGACATTAAATGTGCACTTCTCGGAGATCATGATTTTGAAGTACCAGCTGAGTCATGGAAGCACTGGGCATCAGGGATGTGATTTGATGGTAAATGCGCACATCTAAGATGATCGGGTTTCTGTAGTCATGTAAGAGTCATAGGGATCTGTAGGGACCATTTTCTGGAGCTCTTCAGAGACACTTAGTGTTTTATTAAAGACATAAAGGACATCTGTGATCTGAAGCACTCTAAAAGCCATGATTTTTTGGCAGTGCAATGTCAATGTCTACATGAAAAGATCTGAATCTAGTCTTAAATCCTTAAAATGCAGTATCAATGTGCTCTACTACAATAATTGAAAACATTATAGGAATCATAGTTTCAGAAACTGCACTGTAGGCATACTTTCTTTTCCTCTAAGAAAAGGCATGCCACAATGTAATTAATCTCTGTGGTCTGTTATCAGATATTTTCTTAGCTTAAGGTAAACCACCAGATTTACTAAAAACTATCAAAAAAAATACGAGCGTGTATTGGGAGAAATGTAGATG